ATAGATATCAATATTAATGATTTTATTTGATCAAAAGAGGGTTGGCAATAAATGATAAACATCCTCTCTGCTCAGTGTCTGACCTCTCCTCTGTAATGTTCTGAGACATAATAATAATAAACATTGCATTTGATATAGTGCCTTATCATGTCTTTGAGAGGTCAAAAAGCGCTTCACAGAATATACTGTAAAGTGAATTGACTATATTTTGTGGGTGAAACGTGAGAGCTAATTGCTCACAGTGGGTTCCCACAAACAGTCATGGATTGAAGTGACCTTTTTTTTGAAGGAATTACTACTCCCAGAAAAGCGATCGGTCCATCAACTGACAACCGGGTTCCTATTTACTGAGAGGTAAACAGAGATGTGTGGAGTAAGGAAACTTGCCCAACGTTTCGCACGGCCGGGAATCAAACCCAGGTCTCTGCTTACAAGGCGAGTGCTCTGAACACTAAGCTACAGATTTCCACATGAGAATATCATACGTGAAAGGCACTGTATAATGCAGTCTTCTGTGCAATATAGATCCCCCTGTAACAGTGCTAACCTAATGTGCAATATGTCCCTGCGCCTCTACTAACCTTACGCTTTTGTTGTCTGTGTTTCCTCTGTCTCTGATGTTGGTGGATTAAATGAAGTGTTAAAGTAGTGAATATAGTAATTACATTGAGCTTCTCACATAGCGTTTCTCATTATTGTAAACCCTGGTGTGGTTTGGTAATGGCTTTTTATCCCAGGATTCAGATTGAGGAGAACAACACTTGGAAGTCTATGTGGAACTTAAACACACAGAGTCGCGTACCAGTACACCCTCAGCCCTGTGTTGGAGTGTCAAAAGAATTCTCAAAGCACCTCATACGATTTACTGTAAAGTGGTTGTGACTGTATTTTTGCTCAAATGTGGCAATCAATAATGTGAGTTCAAAGTCCTATTGTGTAACCCACAACTTACTGACACACAGCAACAAGTTACACTTGTGTAGTGCCCGGGACAGTCAGGGGTTTGGACCCGAGCTGGGAGTTGGGGTCAGGAGGGGTGCAGGGCAGGGGTGGTGGGGGTGAGAGCTGTCAGCAGTCAGGCTGACACCCTAAAAGATGCTATGTCGTGCAAACTGTTGTTGTTCTGCACATATTAAATGATAACAGGGACTTGTGTGAAGAAACAAATCATTTACGTAATATTTTGTACTTAAGATGTCATTTCACAGTGGTAGGTATATCCAGCAGTATCCATGGATTACTTTTTACAGTCGGCGGTTTTAGTTCTACGTGCCAGGCTGCGTGGGAATTGTTTGCACCTCATACTACTTACCTCACACAAAGATTGTGTTTGAACCAACCTGTGATCTATTTTGGATGGACCAGAATATCCCAACATATCAGTCAATCCAATTAATTTACAATTAATTAGTTCAGCATTAACTGTTAATCTCTCGTGTTCTGCGGAATCAAACCCACCTTGTGAATTTCAATGCTATTTCAATACTTCCTCTTTTCTACAAAATGACTCAGACCCTCTCATTCCCAATATTACCCCGAAGAACGCTGGGAATCACACGTGTCAGCCTTTAACAGTGTAACCCAAAGGTACAGGTCAGCCACAAGAGAAATCATTGTCATCGGTATGTAATATATAATCCATCATATCCTTACATTTGGTATCTCGTTGCCTTTGGCACAGCAACTATCACATTGTCAAGATATCTCAAAGCGCTTCATAGGATTTACTGTAAAGTGCTGTGACTGTGTGTATGTGTGACTGTGGCACACAGTGTCCACAGCAATGTCCTCCAAACATCCGTGGAGTGAATGACCATATTCTGGTTCGGCCCACGTTGGGACTTGAACTATCATAGTCTAAGATGACATTCCAAAGCAGTGCTCGGGGGAGTGTGGCATTTTCTTGTTGCGGATGGGCTCGAGAGGCTGAATGCCTTATCCCTGTTCCTATGTTGCTATGTTCAGAGCTGCCGTCCTTCAGACGAGATGTTAAACCACATCATGGTTTGGTGGACATTAAGCTCATCCACTGCACGATTCGAAAACAAAGGAATCCTAATGTGGATTTCCTGACCAACAATCCCTCAAATAAAATAGTTTTGTGACTGTTTGTGGGACAGCAGCAATTTGGCTGCTGCGTTTGCCTACAAATACACAGTAAATCGTATGAAGCGCTTTGAGACTTCCTCCTGACATGAAAGGCTCCGTATCAAATGTAAGTTTATCACTTGTTCATTTGCTGCTGAGAAATGTGTTATTTTATTCTTTATTAAATCCAAGTTGTTGTTGTTTAAAGGTGCCAAACGTTTCTAACAGTACTGAGTGTTGATGGGTAAGTTTTGTGTTTGATTTTGTGAAAATGAATGAAGAATGACAGGAGCAGAGATTCCTGGCCACCGGATTGAACTTGTGACGTAAAATTTGTTCTGTTACGTCATAAAATGTACCTACAATTTTGTGCCATTTTTAATTTACAGTAAAACTATAAGCAGTGCTGCATTTCTGCCATGTTTGTAGCATTTTATTTCCAACTAAGTTGCAACCTTACTGTCAAAAGTGAATATTTAGACAGTTCAACAGAGTATTTTTAAGGAGAAAGAATGTTATGTGATAGTTAACAGTACTTTAAAATCTCAAGAAGTTAGATCACCAAAGGGAGTGAATCAACCCCACATGCTCTCTTTATCCCTCTTTACAATACTTTTTTTATATCATTCCATGTACATAAGAATGTGCAGGACTGAAACAGGCCACGATGGTCTATCTCAAAATAAAACAGCAACAAAAAAATTACATTTATAGAGCACCTTTCATGTCGTGAGGACGTCCTAAGGCGCTGGACAGTCAGGGGTTAGGACCCGAGCATGGGGGGAGGGGTGGGATAGGGTGGGGTAGGGGTTAGGGAAGGCAGAGAGGTGGTTTAAAATAATATAATCCATGACCCATTCTTCTGAATTATCAAGGGGCTTGGATCGTAATTCATTATAATAATGAGAATAATCTTTGCATTTGATATGGCACTTTTATCACATCACCGACACATCAAAGCACTTCATAGATTACTGTGAAGTGAAATAGTTGTGTGTATTTTCTGGGAAAATACGGTAACCAATTTTGCGCACAGCAATCTCCCCACCAACTGCCTTGGAGTGAGTGGCTGATTTTATTTGTAGGATTGTCGGCCAGGACACCAGGAGAAGGAACTCCATTCTATTTTCGAATAGTGGGAGTCCTGTAGCTCAGGGGTTAGAGCGCTCACCTCGCAAGTGAGAGACCGGGGTTTGATTCCCGGCAGGTGAAACGTTTCGTTACTCCACACACCTCTATTTACCTTCGCAGTAAGTAGGAACCTGGTTATTAGTCAATTGGCGGATTGCTTTTCTGGGGGTAATAATTCCTTACATTGTCCTTACAATGGCTTGAAACTACAACCTTCTGATTCATGTGTGAGAGTGCCACTAATTGAGCCGGGCTGACACACTATATTGTTCAGGGACACAAACAAATAATACATTTATCATTCAATCCATGACTGTTTGTGGGGCACTGCTGTGCGCAATTGGTTGCCACGTTTCGCCCAGTGCTCTGAGACGTCTCGAAGTCATGATAAGGAGCTATATCAAATGCAAGGATTATTATTAACGTCCATCTGGACAGAAGGCAGGATTTAATGTCTCATCCGAACCTTATGTTGTTCAGTATAAGGGTCGGACGCTGGTCAGTATTAGAGACAGGTCAGTTTTAGGTCAGTCCTGTAGGGAATCCTGGAGCTCAGTGATTAGAGCACTCGCCTTGCAAGTGAGAGACCGGGGTTTGATTCCTGGAAGGGTGAAAGTGTCCTTACTCCACACGCCTGACAATAATCCCTCAAGAAAAAAAATATTATTTGGTGATTCAATGTTTGTGGGACACTGCTGTGCAAAATTGGTTGCCTCGTTTCGCCCACAAATATACAGTCAATTCACTTTACAGTGTATTCTGTGAAGAGCTTTGAGATGTCTGGAAGACCTGAAAAGCTCAATATCAAATGCACTGATTATTATTATTAGTCTAAGGGTTGAGTCACTATTAGTTCCTTCAGTATTATTCTTGGATCAGTATTCGGGACGGTCAGTTCGCTGAATGTGGTTATTGATTATTACAGCAAAGTGAAAAGGATTGATACCAATGAAGGAAAACGATGACACGGAAACATGGAACTCTCTTTAAGGGGGTCCTGTTATAATGTAGAATTTACTTCCAAGATATGGATTTTCTTCAGCACAAGAAAGGAAGGCTTCGCACATAACAAACATGTACAGCAGCTGATGCAAACTGAAGTGGTGACCCTGAAGTTGGGCTGTTTGTGGTTCAGGAATCCAAGCAGTCACCGTCATGTCATCACTGACGAGCAGCCACTGCTGATCACACTGCGCTATGAGGCAGATTACAGTGTTATGGACTCCAGCAATGCCTTCTGATGGGGTTAGAATTCTCCTGATAAAGGTCCGCTGTGTCAGTCCTTGGGTATGTGGCAAACAGATCATGATACTATAATCATCCTTGTATTTGATACAGTGCCTTATCACGTCTTCGAGACGTCTCAAAGCGCTTCACAGAATATACATAAAGTATAGTGACTGAATATGTTGTGGACGAAACACGGCAGCCAAATGCGCACAGCAGTGTCCCACAAACAGTCATGGATTGAAGTGACCAAATTATTAGTATTATTATTTGAAGGAATTATTACCCCCGGAAAATAGATCCACCGATCGACTAACAACCGGGTTTCTACTCACTGATGGATAAACAGAGGTGTGTGAGTGTGTGTGGAGTAAGGAAACTTGCCCAACATTTCGCTCTGCCCAGGAATCGAACCCAGGTCTCTCACTCTGGCGAGTGCTCTAACCACTGAGCTACAGTACTATTAAAACAGAAACCAAAAGAATAACTTTGTCAAAAAGTTCAGCCAAACACTGGTTTATAATTGTATGATTCTATTATCATTCTATTTACAGAAAATATCACCAGCGTCACCGTAACACAGAACATTCCCAACCCGATAGAATACAATGACACTGTGACACTGACATGTGATGTTAAAGGCACTGTTGAGTCACGGTTGTGGTTTAAGGATGAGAGAGCTCTCCACAGCAATGACAGGATCACAATCTCCCAGGATAATGCCACCCTGACCATCATCAGTGTGACTAGAAATGATGGTGGAACGTATCGGTGTGAGGCAAAGAACAGCTTTAGCTCTCAGTCCGGCAGCCACACACTGAGCATTGCGTGTAAGTACTCAGTCACCTCTCAGAATAAGGCTTCAATCTTATGCTTTACGTTCAGTGGTAATAAAGAAGCCGTTCTTGCGTCTGTTGCAGATGGACCAGACACCCCTGAGCTTACAATCACTGGGACACACTCAGCAGAACTTGGAGACTCTCTAACATTGTCTTGTTCTGCTCAGTCAAACCCAGAAGCTCAGTATAAATGGATATTTAATGGCACTGTTCTGCCACATACAAGTTCAAATTTCACCATTCATCAAATAAGGCAGAATGATTTTGGGACTTACACTTGTCAGGCTCGTAACAACATTACCTTAAGAGTCAATGAGAAAGATGTAACTTTAAAGGGTAAGTGAATGTACTGTACATAACACTGAGCGCTTTGCTGTGATGTGCTATATGATGTGGTCATTTCTAGCTTTGTACGTTGAGAGATCCCTCAATATACTCTTCTGTGAATGTTAGTGGTAGCAAATGCATTGCATTGATGTTCAGCTCCAACTCGTGTGTTTCAAATGCAGCGATGTTTTATAATTTAATAAGTTATGAATAGTTATCAACATCAGAAAATCTAGAATTAAGAGTGGAAGTTGAAAAGTAGTTTCCATGTGATTCACAGAAGACCCCGTATGCAAATTTATATTTATATTGCCACTCTTTTATCCAGGCCCAATGATGCTCTGTCTGATTGACATGAACATACTGACATACTTGAAGAAACATATTTTTTTTAATATTATAAAATATTAGGAGTTGATCTTGTGCTTATGTTCTGATAACTGTGGTGGAGTTTGATTGCCTCATTGTCAGTATGGCTCAGTTTGTAGCACATTTGCCTCTGAATCAGACGATTGTGGTTGAAGCCCCACATTGGAACCTGGAACCCATATAGTCGAGGCTGACACTGCAATGCAGTGCTGGGGTGTGATGTGTTAGAGGCGCTGTCCTTCGGATTAGACGTTAAACCAAAGAATGCCGTGACTGTCCACATAGACATTAAAGATCCCACAGTACTATTTGAAAACAGAATGGAGTTTCTCTCTCTGGGTATAATGGACAATAACAACAACAACAAGAACTTGCATTTATATAGCACCCCTCACGTAGTAGCATTCCCAATATTACCCTGAAGACCGCTGGGAATTACACGTCAGGCTTTTAACAGTACCCAAACATCGGAATCCTTGTTATAAGTACGTAATACAGTATTGTTACATGACGTAAAAGCCTTTCTGTGCTTTATCTTTTAACTAAAAACATATTCAAGTGGCCTGGCGTGTGCTGTACGACTGAAACAAAATGACAAAGATTGCAATCTGAGATTGACTGTGAACCAGAAGTAGGCAGTTCTGCTTTGCCACAAACCAGCTGTCATTTTCTCTTTTGTGTTATGTGCAATGAATACACAATATACAATGAATAAGCACTGACTAGTGACTGAATCCCGTGATAGCGCTGGTTGGGATTGAATAATAATAATAATCCTTGCATTTGATATAACATCATATCACGTCTTCGAGACGTCTCAAAGCTCTTCAAAGGATACACTGTAAAGTGAAGTGACTGTATATCTTGTGGGTGAAGAGTGGCAGGCAATTGCACATAGCAGTGTTCCATAAACAGTCGTGGATTGATGTGACCAATTATTATTTTCTTTTAAGGAATTATTACCCGGAAAAGCAATCCGCCAATCGACTAACAACCGGGTTCCTATTACTGCTCGGTAAACAGAGACGTGTGGATTAAGGAAACTTGCCCAACGTTTCGCCGGCCGGGAATCGAACCCAGGTTTCTTGCTTACAAGGCGTGCGCTCTAACCACTGAGCTACAGAACTCACTGAATTACCAAATTGCCAATTTACAATCGTAATATAATTTGCAATACAATCCGCACTTATACATTACTTTCACGTCAGAAGGAACACCCAAAACTCTCGAGAATTCTGGCTGGACATGGAGCTGAGGAGGGGGCGGAGAGGGGTTAAGGAGAGGAAAATGACCAAAAACTAGATTTACGCATTAACATAAATTGGCAAATTGGTGATTCGAAGAGCGAGCTGTATTGAAGCATTGAATTCTCTGAACAGACTTGTTCTATACAAAACCTACAGAAAGATAATGCCATCTACAACTTGTATTACACATTCACTGCATTCGTTTGTGTCCCTGAACAATATAGTCCATCAATATATTGGCTTAATTAGTAGCACTATCACCCATGAATCAGAATATTGTAAATTCAAGCCTCATATCAGGAACTTATACACGGTAGAAGGTGTTATCCTTCAGATAAGACGTTAAACAAGGTCCCATCTGCCTGTTCAGGTGGACGATAAAGGTCTCACGGTACAATACAAAATTACATTTGTATAGCGCCTTTCACATCGGGAGGACGTCCCAAGGCACTGTTCAAAATGATATGGGAGTGTCTCTCTCCTGATGGCCTGGTCAATAATCCCCAAATAAAAACACTGTGTGTCTGTTTGTAGGGCATCACTGCACAAATTGGCTGCTATATTTGCTCACAAAACAGTTACCACACTTTACATTATATCCTGTAAAGCACTTTGAGACATCGGCCTGACATGAAAGGTCCTGTCACAGTGTACGGACTATTATTATATTTCATGTTAAACCAATCTCCTGTGTTTTGATGGATCGTTTTCAAAGCTGTTGTTACCTCCAATGTCACTATTCCGGTAGAACATAATGACAGTGTGGCTCTGACCTGCACTGCAGTGGGCACTGCCGTCTCATATCTGTGGTATAAGGACAATGATGGTATCTATGTTGACACAAGGATTGCGCTAAGTGATGGCAATAGAACTCTCACTATACCTGGAATTTTAAGGTCTGACACAGGAGAATTTACGTGTTTTGGGTACAACATAATTAATGGAAAGACAAGTGATTCTTATCTACTCAATGTTAACTGTAAGTGCTGATTAACAGCTTCCATTTTCTTTGTTGCTAATTATTATTTATTACCAACCCTGGTTAATTAATTTGCATAAAAGAAGCTCAATTTTTCATCTTGTATGAAAGATATGTGCTCACATTAGGCATTTAACTGCTTTGACCACTTTTTTTAACTTCAGAGCTGAAATAGATATCAATATCAAAGATTTTATTTTATCAAAAGAGAGTCAGCAACAATGATAAAGATCCTCCCTGCTCAGTTGTTGACCTCGCCTCTGTAATGTTCTGAGAAATAACAAAAATAATAATCATTGCTTTTGATATAGCACCTTATCACGTCTTTGAGATGTCTAAAAGCGCTTGACAGAATCTACAGTAAAGTGAATTGACTATACTTTGTGGGTGAAACGCGGTAACTAATTGCGCACAGCAGGTTCCCACAAACAGTCGTGGATTGAAGTGACTAATTTTTTTTTGAAGCAATTATTACCCCTGGAAAAGCGAACTGCCCATTGACTAACAACCGGGTTCCTATTTACTGTTTGGTAAACAGAGATGTGTGGATAAGTAAACTTGTCCAACATCTCGCCCTGCTGGAAATCAAACCCAGGTTTGTTGCTTGTGAGGCGAGCGCTCTAACCACTGTGCTACAGCACTTCCACTATTCAAAAATAGAGTTTCTCTCCTCTGTCCCGGCCAACAATCCTACAAATAAAATTAGCCATTCTCTCCAAGGCAGTTGTTAGTCAATTGGCTTCTCTGGGGGTAATAATTCCTTATAATGTACTGACAATGACTTGAAACTACAACCTTCTGATTCATGTGTGAGAGTGCCACTAATTGAGCCGGGCTGACACACTATATTGTTCAGGGAACAAACAAATAATACATTTATCACTCAATCCACAACTGTATGTGGGAAACTGCTGTGCACAATTAGCTGCCACGTTTCGCCCAGTGCTCTGAGACATCTCGACAACATGATGAAGATCTATATCAAATGCAACAACAACAACAAAATTAATTTATAGAGCGCCTTTCATATCAGGAGGACGTCCCAAAGCGCTGAACAGTCAGGTTCTGGGGCCTGAGCATGGGGGAAGGGGTGTAGGGGTAAGGGAAGGCAGAGAGGTGGGAGGGAGACCAAAGGCACGATTGAAGAGAAGGGTCTTAAGATCGACCTTGAAGGAGGCCAGGGAGGAAGCGAGGCAAAGGGACCGTGGGAAGGAGTTCCAGATTGTGGGGGCAGAGAGGCTGAAAGCAGGTCAGGGGGGAGATATGATAGGGCAGGTCAGGCGGGAGATATGAAGCAGGCCGGAGCCTGATGAACGGAGGGAACGGGCAGGTTGGTAGGGAATGAGCAGGTCAGAGAGGTAGGAGGGAGAAAGGCCTTGGATGGCCTAAAGATGAGGACGAGGATCTTGAACTCGATCCTCTGGGGGATGGGGAGCCAGCGGAGTCGGGCGAGGTTGGGAGTGATGGGGTCACGGAGCCTGGTGCGTGAGAGTACACGAGCTGCAGAGTTTTGGATGATCTGCAGCTTGTGAAGGGAAGAGTTGGGAAGGCCGATAAGGAGCGAGTTCCCGTAATCAATGCAAAGATTATAATTAACGTCCACCTGGACAGAAGGCAGGATGTAATGTCTCATCCGACCCTTATACTGTTCAGTACAAGGGCCGGAAGCTTGTCAGTATGATATTATGCCTGATAATAATCCCTCAAGAAACAAATTATTATTTGGCCACTCAATCCACGACTGTTTGTGGGACACTGCTGTGCACAATTGGCTGCCGCGTTTCGCCCACAAATATACAGTCAATTCACTTTACAGTATATTCTGTGAAGCGCTGTAGATGCCGAGAAAACTTGAAAAGCGCTGAATCAAATGTAAGGATTATTATTATTAGTCTAAGGGTTGAGTCACTATTAATTCCTTCAGTATTATTCTTGGATCAGTATTCAGGATGGTCAGTTTGCTTAATGTGGTTATTGATTATTACAGCAAAGTGAAAAGGACTGATACCAATGAAGGAAAACAATGGCACTGTCGAACTCTCTTTAAGAGGGTCCGGTTATAATGTAGAGTTTATTTTCAAGCATGGATTGTCTTCAGCACAAGAAAGGAAGGCTTCCGGATTAGTTTTAAAAAAGCACAAAGCTTTGCACATAACAAACATGTACAGGAACTGATCCAAACTGGAGTGCTGTAGCTCAGTGGTTGGAGCGCTCGGCTCACAAGCGAGAGACCTGTTCGATTCCGGGCAGGGCGAAACCTTGGGCAAGTTTGGTCTTCCTCCCACCTCTCTGCCTTCCCTCACCTCTCCACATGCCTGATAATAATTCCTCAAAAAAAACAATAATAATTTGGTCACTTCAATCCACAACTGTTTGTGGGACACTGCTGTGCGCAATTGGCTGCCGCGTTTTGCTCACAAAAAATGCAGTCAATTCACTTTACAATATATTCTGTGAAGCGCTTTGAGACGTCTCGAAGACGTGAAAAGTGCTATATCAAATTCAAGGACGATGATTATTATTATAGTGGTGACCCTGACGTTGGTCTGTTTCCGGTTCCGAAAACCAAGCAGCCACAGTCATGTCATCACTGACGAGCAGCGACTGCTGATCACACTGCGCTATGAGGCAGATTACAGTGTTATGGACTCCAGCAATGCCTTCTGATGGGGTTAGAATTCTCCTGATAAAGGTCCGCTGTGTCAGTCCTTGGGTATGTGGCAAACAGATCATGATACTATAATCATCCTTGCATTTGATACAGTGCCTTATCACACCTTAGAGACATCTCAAAGCGCTTTACAGAATATACTGTAAAGTGTGGTGACTGAATATTTTGTGGGCGAAACACGGCAGCCAAATGTGCACAGCAGTGTCCCACAAACAGTCATGGATTGAAGTGACCAAATTATTAGTATTATTTTTGAAGGAATTATTACCCCCGGAAAATTGATCCACCGATCGACTAACAACCAGGTTTCTACACACTCATAGATAAACAGAGATGTGTGTGAATGTGTGTGGAGTAAAGAAACAAGCTCCATGTTTCGCTCTGCCCAGGAATCGCTTGCGCGACGAGTGCTCTAACCACTGAGCTACAGCACTATTCAAAACCAGAAACCAAAAGAATAACTTTGTCAAAAAATTCAGCATAACCACTGGTTTATAATTGTATGATTCTATTATCATTCTATTTACAGAAAAAATCACCAGCGTCACCGTAACAAGCAACACTCCCAACCCGATAAAATACACTGACAATGTGACACTGACATGTGATGTTAAAGGCACTGTTATGTCACGGTTGTGGTTTAAGGATGAGAGAGCTCTCCACAGCAATGACAGGATCACAATCTCCCAGAATAATGCCACCCTGACCATCATCAATGTGACTAGAAATGATGGTGGAACGTATCGGTGTGAGGCAAAGAATAGCTTTAGCTCTGTGTCCGGCAGCTACACACTGAGCTTTGCGTGTAAGTACTCAGCCGCCTCTCAGAATAAGGCTTCAATGTTATGCTTTACGTTCAGTGGTAATAAAGAAGCCGTTCTTGCGTCTGTTGCAGATGGACCAGACACCCCTGAGCTTACAATCACTGGGACACACTCAGCAGAACTTGGAGACTCTCTAACATTCTCTTGTTCTGCTCAGTCAAACCCAGAAGCTCAGTATAAATGGATATATAATGGCACCGTTCTGTCACACACAACTCCACAGCTCACCATTGATCAAATAAGCCCGACTGACCGTGGGAGTTACACTTGTCAGGCAGCGAGGTTTTGTAATTTAATAAGTTATGAACAGTTATCAACATCAGTGAATCTAGAATTAAGAGTGGAAGTTGAAAAGTAGTTTTTGTGCGATTCACAGAAGACCCCGTATGCAAATTTATATTTATATTGCCACTCTTTTATCCAGGCCCAATGATGCTCTGTCTGATTGACATGAACATACTGACATACTTGAAGAAACAAATATTAGGAGTTGATCTTGTGCTTATGTTCTGCTAACTGTGGTGGAGTTTGATTGCCTCATTGTCAGTATGGCTCAGTTTGTAGCACATTTGCCTCTGAATCAGACGATTGTGGGTTGAAGCCCCACATTGGAACTTGGAACCCATATAGTCGAGGCTGTCACTGCAATGCAGTGCTGGGGTGTGATGTGTTACAACAACAACAAGATTTCATTTATAGAGCATCTTTCACGTCAGGAGGACGTCCGAAGGCGCTGGACATTTGGGTCGGGACCCGAGCAGAGGGGAGATGGTCAGGGTGAGGGGAGGGAAGGGAGGGAGCGAGGAGGGGGGAAATGGTCAGGGTGAGGGGAGGGAAGGGAGCGAGCGAGCGAGGAGGGGGGAAATGGTCAGGGTGAGGGGAGGGAAGGGAGGGAGCGAGGAGGGGGTAGAGAGTCGAGAGTGGAGCTGAAGGTACGGTCGAAGAGAAAGGTCTTGAGACCGGCCTTGAAGGAGGAAGGGGAGGAAGCGGCGAAGGCACTGGGGATAGAGTTCCAGAGCCTCGGGGCTGAGAGGCTGAGGGCCACCGATGGTCGGGCGGTTGGGGCGGGGGATGTGGAGCAGACCGGAGCCGGAGGAGTTAGAGGTACTAACGGATGAGTTGTTAAAACTGAAGAATGCTGTGACTGTCTATGTAGACATTAAAGATACCACAGTACTATTGACAATAGAATGGAGTTTCTCTCTCTGAGTTTCATGGCTGACAACAAGAAGAACTTGCATATATATAGCACCCCTCCTGTCAGGTCACGTCTCAGAGCACTTCCCCCAAATAAAATTGGTCATTGAGATTTAACTGTTCATGTGGTATTGTTGAACATAAAATAGTTCCCATATTTGTCCACAAAATATCAGTGCACTTTACATTACATCCTGTGCAGCGCTTTGACACATCTCGACAACATGATAAGGTGCTATATCCAATGTAAGGATTATTAATAATTATTGTGTTGGATGATTGTGTGCCTTGGAGGAGAATGCTAAACTCCTAAAATCTGTCCACGTGCCATTTGGGTCTGTCACCACCTTTCTCTGTCTGACTATTTCCCTCTTGGTCTCCCTCTCTCTTAATCTCCCTTACTCTCTCTTGTCTATAATAATAATTGATAATAATAATCCTTGCATTTGATATAGCTCCTTATCACGTCTTTCAGACGTTTCAAAGCGCTTCACAGAATTTACTGTGAAGTGAATGGACTATATATTGTGGGCGAATTATGGCAGTGTCCCACAATCAGTCGTGGATTGAATGACCAATTTATTATTATTTTTTGAAGGAATTATTACCCTCCTTATATAATCTCCCTTACTCTCTCTTGTCTATCTCTCTGTTTTCCTCTCTCCCTCTCATCTCTTTTTTTCGCTCTCTTTCTCTCTCTCTCTCATCCCTTTAGTTTTCCCCTTTGTCTGTTTTCATACATTTACAGAATCGGGTTGATTCAAAATCCTTTAAACTCTGAAGGAAAATTGAGTGGATCTCACAGATCACAGTGTGATTGACAGTAAGATTTTGAACCTTGCTTAAAAATAATGCACCATTACTTGTATTTTTTCCTTTAACTGTATAAGTGCAGTTAACTACAAATGTTTAAAGTTGACCCAACAATGCAAAGAAATTCTACTGAACTCATAACAGTTTAGGGATCTCAAACATTTCTGTGCCCTTATATGTTTATAACCTCCAAATATTACCAAAAATAGTCATGAACTGCAGCGTTCATGAGTGGACAGTGAAAGGGGGAGACAGAGAGAAAGGGGGGAGATAGACAGACGGAGAGACAAGAGAGAGTGGGACTATGGCAGAGAGAGAATGAGGAGCCTGAGAGAGAGAGAGAGACAGACAGACAGACAGACAGACAGACAGACAGACAGACAGACAGACAGACAGGCAGGCAGGCAGACAGACAGACAGACAGACAGACCTGGAGAAGACGAGGAGGAAACACCCTCCCTCTCTATCGATCTCTCTCTCTCTCTTGCAATGCTCACATCAATTCCTGCACATTGTGTGTGCCTTTGACTTGCACTACGCAGAAACCAGCAACAACAACAAAATTACATCTGTAAAGCGCCTTTCACTTCGGGAGGACGTCCCAAGATTAATAATAATAATAGCGTCTTATCATGTCTTTGAGACGTTTCAAAGCGCTTGAAAAGATACACTGTCAAGTGCAGTGACTGTGTGTTTTGTGGGCCAAACATGGCAGCTAATTGCGCACAGCCCTGTCCCACAAACAGTCGTGGATTGAGTGACCAAATTATTATCATTTTTTCATTTTTAAATGTTTTTGAAGGGATTATTACCCCTGGAAAGCGATCCGCCAATTGACTAACAGGCGGGTTCCTATTTACTGCTCGGTAAACAGAGCTGTGTGTGTGTGTGTGGAGTAAGGGAATTTGCCTCACATTTCGCCCTGAACAGGAATTGAACCCGGGACCTCTCGCTTGCAATACAAGCTCTCTAACCACTGAGCTACTGAACGGCACAATAAGTGTCCTTGACTTCACTCAAAGTGGAGTTTCCTGCTCATTTTGTGCAGGAATTGACATCAGCAGAGACCTGATGATTGGAAGTTAAGAAGTTGGGCGTTATAGCGCACTTCACTTATAGCGCTGTCACTAAAACATTGGGCCCAGTTGACCATATCTAAACCAAGGTCTCACTGTGAAAGTGACAGTGACAGTTTCACAGAACAAGCAACGGGAAGCTTCCAAGACAATCTCCTAAGCCTTGACTGCTGCCAACCTGTGCCTAATACTTTCCAGGGTTAGAGGCATTCATCTGAGGAGAGAATATTATCTTCATTCCAGACAAAGGGAACTTTGATGCATATGTGGAACTCTGTCTGTGTCCCCTTCAGCATTCTGGCCCTCAGAGAACAGAGTACAAAACTCTCATTCTCACCTTCAAAGCCCTCCACTGAATTGCTCCCTCCTCCTTTTTGACCTTCTAACCCCATATTAGGCTGCCCGCTCCCTCCTCTGGTGGACACTGTCTTCATGTCTCCAGCACTTCCCGCCCCACCATTGGCGGTTGGGGATTCAGTATCTCTGCTCCCACACTCTGGAACTCTATCCCGCAATCCCTCAGCCTCACCGCCTCTCTTACCTCTTTCAAGCCCCGTCTAAAGACCTTCCTCTCTGACCGTGCCTTCGGCCACCCTCCCACCCACACCTCCACCCCTCCCGACCCCAATGCCCAGCTCGGGTCCAAAACTCCCTGACTGTTCAGCGCTTTGAGACATTTTTCCAATGTGAAGGGCACTATACAAGAGTAATTTGTTGTTGTTGTGACGGATTTCTGGGTGATCTAAATGAATGGAGGAAGGAACAAGGAAAAGAAGGGAGTGAAATATAATGTTGCATATCATTATGGCAAGAACCATTCTCTTACACATGTGAATACCATTAGCTATTATTAATTCATCTTTCTGCTGGAAAGCTGTAGATAGGTCATTGATGATTCAATTCTCAGTCTGTTGAAATCAAACTACATTTCACACCTGTTCCCCGGCATTTAAATATTTGTATTCGGGTAACATTATTTATCTGAAATTGTACTTTGTCTCGTCTGACTGGAATATTTGATTTTATTATCTTACAGCCAAAGGCAGTCCTCCTAACAGTTTAAGCGGTGGAGCGATAGCAGGAATAGTGATTGCCTGTATTGTTGGCGTTGCTCTGATTACTGCACTTGTCGTATGGGTCGTCAAAGTAAAAGGAAGGTAAATACTTCTATAAGAATCTTAATGCTACTTTATTGTGAAGATGGTAAAGAACGCCTCATTCTTTATGACTGTCTGTATTTGTTATAATTGTTTGCTGCTTCATATCCAAGTTTCTCTCTTTTTGCTGTGATACATTCTCCATGTCATATCCTTTATGTACCACTTGATCGTGTGATATAGCTGTGTGCAAATTGGCTGCCGTGTTTGCCTACAAAACACACTCAGTCACACCACTTTACAACATATCCTATGAAGCGCTTTGAGAAATTTCGACGTCAGGATAAGACACTGTATCAAATGTAAGGATTATTACGTAGTGCCGATTGCCTCCCTTTTTGTATTTCTTATTCTATGCAATATTACATTTGTATAGAGCCTTTCAAATCGGAAAGGGGCTATACATCCCGAGGTGCTGCTCGTCAGAGACTTGGACCCGATTTGGGGATCGGGTTTGGGGAGGGCAGGGAGGGTAGGAGGGTGGCCGAAGGCTCAGGCAAAGAGGATTTTGAGACGCACCCTGAAGGAAGCAAGGGAGGGAGCGAGGGGAATGGAATGTGGGTTAGAGTTCCCTAAGGTGAAGGCCCAGCTGATGATGGTGGGGTGGGTGGGGTGGGGGACGTGAAGTAGGCCGGAGCCTGCTGAGCGGAGAGCGCGGACAGGCTATTCTATGAAAGCAATGTTATTTCCTTGCTGCCAGAAAAGTTTAGGTTTCCAGGGATTGCAAGCAATGCATTTTGCTTTCTTGCCCTGCTGGAATAAGATTTCCATTTGGATATATTTGTTGAAAGAGAAAAAACTAGAAGCTGACATTCTGTTTACATTTATATTGATGCCTTGTGCCTGTAGTTCAACAGCAACACATATTAAACTGCATATTCACTTTTAGTACTTTTAGTCTGTGGCTCTCGCGTAAAATTATTTCAGAAGTAAATGCTTTTAAGAACCACCAGTTCTTCCTGGAGATTCACTCATCAACAACAGCTTATATAGCGTCCCTCACATGGCGTAGCGTCTCGGAGTGCTGTGACGGAGCCTGACACCGAGCCGGGGGGAGGAGGTGACCGTGAGCGTGGTCGAAGAACAAAGTCTTCAGGCGTGATCTAAAAGAGGGAAAGGAGGTGGCAAAGCGGAGGGATAGGGGGAGAGAGTTTCAAAGCTTCGGGGTGTAGTGTCTGAAAGCCGGAGCCAACCGAGCGAGGCAGTGGGTAATGGGTTGGGGAGAAAGTAGGTCGGAGAGGTAGGGAGGTGTCAGGGCCTGAAGGGATTTGTAGACGGGTGAGAAGATCTTGAAATCGATCCATTCTGTGATAATGGAGCCTGGCGCGGATTGGTGTGATGGGGTAGAGTTTAGTGTGGGTTATAATAGTACTCTTCCATTTGATCTTGGATCTTCTCCCATCATCGAAACATCTCAAAGCGCCGTAAACGATTTTTAGAGCAAAGTGTTGGCAACTAAAGAAGGTTTGGTATTTTTTGGACCCCGAACTGCCACATTATAGTGGGGCTTCACTGTATTATGATAATATCCAATCCTTAATATTAAATTATTGAAAATGTGTACTTTCACACAGAGTTGAAAAGAATTGATTATTGCAATTAAAGGTGATAACACTGGCCTACCCTAATCCCTGTTCTACCACTTCAGATACTTTGCACTTAGTCTCTGCAACGTCCCTCTGACTCATTTCTTCTCTCTTTCAAGGTACCCTTATTTTTGATCAGTTTCCCCCTCCACAGTCCCTAAATTTTCGCATGTCTCAGGCACCCGGCTGACCAAATAGAACAATCCTTCAGCTCGCACCCTCAGTTCTGGTGTTGGTTGAGCGCTTTGGAATGTTCTTCTGACATGTGTATTGTAGAGTCCTGTAGCTCAGTGGTTAGAGAACTTGCCTCGCAAGCGAGAGGCCTTGGTTCGATTCCCAGGCAGGACAAAAACATTGGGCAAGTTTCCTTATTTCACACACACGCCTCTGTTTTCCCAGGAATCCGGTTTTTAGTGGATTGTCGGATCGCTTTTCCGGGGGTAAAAATTCCTTCCAAAATAAAACAATAATAATAGTAATTTGGTCACTCAATCCACGACTGTTTGTGGGATAGTGCTGTGCCCAATTGGCTGCCGTGTTTCACCCATAAAACACACAGTCAATTGACTTTACAGTATATCCTGTGATGCACTTTGAGACGTCTCAAAGACGTGGTAAAGCGCTATATCAAATTTAAGGTTTATTATTATAATAAGGGAAATGCAATCTAATATTCAAAAAAAGTTTAAAAAAATGACCATATATACTTTTCACTAGAAACTGGAACTTTTGAAAATCGAGACTTCTGACTATTTGTCTTCTATTTTTGCCTTCATACGTTGTGATTAATAAAACTTTCACTTCACTTTTCTCTTTTCATGTTGTCTGCAATTTATATTTACATTCATGTGCCTCGGTTTATATGTTCTTGGATAAGCTGCTGTCTGTTATGTGCAAATGATTAAACTAATGTTGTACTTGTTATTGGAATCAGTGTTGAAAATATTTCTTCACCAAATACCCATGTCTTTATCACCAAGCTATCTAGGGATGCTATCTGTGTTTTTTTTATAAATATGTCTTAGTAAATCAACTTCCAAACAATATTTCCTGTTCCCCAATGGATCACCAGATACTGTAATAATGTATCATGTTCAGATACAATCAAATATCTTTATTTATTCATCTGCATCAACCCATTTATTGCAGTTTCCACCTGTCCTCATATTCTTGCTTGTACATTTACCTGAAATTTATTCAATGGAACTCACAGCGCAAGTAAATCAAAATTATATAACCGTTCTTATTAATGGTGTGTGAATACTAATCAATATAACAGTCATCTTGGTTGCATATCATTTTTAGTGCAATAGAATTATAATAAGGGTTCAATGAGGTTAGCAGAATGTTCTTGTTGAGGAGTCTGTCACCAGGAATACAAATATAAGATAGCAATGTCGCATTTACCTCTACTTGGAGACCTGTAGCTTATTGGTTAGAGCACTCGCCTCAGAAGCAACAGATCTGGAAGGGCGAAATGTTGGGCAAGTTTCCTTACTCCACACACATGCCTCCATTTACCAAACAGTAAGTAGGAACCCGGTTGTTAGTCGATTGGCACATCACTTTTCTGGGGATAATAATTCCTTCAAAAAAATATAATAAATTGGTCACTTCAACCATGACTGTTTATGGGACGTTCTGTAGCGCAATTCACTGCTCCGATTCGCCCGCAAAATATACAGTCAATTCACTCTACAGTATATTCTGCGAAGCATTTTGAGACGTCTCAAAGACATGATAAGGCACTGTATCAAATGCAATGATTATTATCATTATGACAATGCAGTCTGGTGTGCAGATGGAAAGCACTCTTGGGATTTGCGAGTACATGCTGTAGCCTGCAACAGGAGTAAGAAAACTACAACCTTCACAAAATAGAAGAAAGATGTTTATCACCAGAGAAGACACGTTTAACAGGGAACCTAAAGGAGATGTTTAAAATGATAAAAGGACTCAATAAGGTTCTCTCTCATAAATTGGCTGTTCCCACTTTAAGGGCATCTAAAAGAGAATTTAGGAGGAACTTCTTCCCACAGAGAATATGGAACTTGTTGTCTGAAGCAGTGGTTAAAATTGATAGTATAGATGCATTTATTATATTTTTGTCAGCCGGGTGTCTGACATATGAGGAAACCCATCACTGGTTTGAGAGCATCCAAACAAAACTGAGAGTTTAGTTTCTTACAGCCCATTGAAATTCCTGACAAATTTATTGGAATGGAATGTCCACTCCCTCCCTGGAGGGAAGCAACTGCTTACCTCATTACTGCATTAAGCGCAGGTTGGCGAGAGCCAAGGCTTGGGGACCCCCAGTGTACACTGAGGTAACTGTTGGAATCTAAGCTGCTAAAAAAACATAGCTTGCCATTGAGAGCGCTGTCTGGCAACTTTCCCACTGCTTGCCCAGCGAGGACCACCCTACCTGTTAGTTAGGGCTTTGGCTGCAGGGTTAACAGGAGCTGAGTGGGAGGTTTCCCTGCCCCCAGTGACTGGTCTTTCCTTCCATGTCCTGTTGATGAGCCAGGGTGGGCTGTGCTGTAATCAGCAGTGCCCTGGAGTACTGCGGACCCCCCTGGCTCAGGAACTGGACGACTTAGATTGCCAAAAATCTCATCTTGGAGCCAGTTTAGCCAACCTTCCCCCATCCCCTAACACCCCACCCCCCAGGAGGATAGTGACCAGTTGTCATCTGACAAGCGTAGGTTTTGGGCCTCACTTGTAGTTTGATTAATAAGTACCAGGAACTTTCTGCGCGGATTAAAATGCATTTAAAAGGAAGACGGGTATACACATGAGGGAGAAGGGAATAGAAGGCTGTGGGAGGGAGTAAGGAGTGGGTGGACCCTCATGTGGAAGTATAAACGGCAAGGTCACAGTGGGCCAAATGGCCTCTTTCCCTGCTGTACAGTCTATGTAAATCTATATGTAAATCTATGTAAAATACTCTTGTTGAGAAATCTACAAACCGATCTGTTGTGTAACATTCATTTAGGGCGAAAAGTGGATCACATCATCAAAATGGTGTCACAATGGCTGCAACAGGAAACAGTAAGTAAACTAGTTGTAGCGTATAACAAGCTGCTATGCCAACGCAACATTTCAGTAATTTGGCTTAATTGAAATGCTCTAATTTACCATTTAATATATTGCTACACCCCACTGTAGCTTTGAATTAACAAAACTAATGTAATCCTCATATCATGCTTTGCAATTAAGCTCCTTGCATACTTACTACGAGAACAAGACGAAGCTTGAGCCTCCCTTTAGAAATCAGACACCCCAAAGTGCGTAGGTCTAAGTTCTATCATATTTTTCGACACAGTCCCTCCATCACAAACAGAATATGCCACAGTGCAAAGGAAAGAGCAGAACCTTCAATGTAATTAGACCTCAATTAAAGTTTCTGAACATCACTTTCTACTTTGCTCATGTTTCCCCTCGCTGTTATCCTCCTGCACATTCATGCATTTCCTAAGCCAACTTCAGAATGACTGTGACTGACTTACATGATTTCAACAGATTGGAAAAAGGATGTGGGAATGGCACCTTCAGTCAAACTTTTATAAATTAAGAAATCATTCATTCATTCGGAGGAATGTGAAGTATATTCTCTTTTAGGTGTTACTGTACATATATGTTTTTGTGTTGTTGCTATTCTTCTTTATCACATTGAGAGTTTCAAACAATTGATCTCTAGCTATCATCTGCCACATCACATGCCTCTTGCCTCCAGCTGTACTTCCAGCTAAACAACTGTAACTACTTCAAATACGATCCCCTAATTTCAACAGAAAAAAATACAAACACAAAAACAATCCATTATTTTTAGGAGGGAATGAGGGAGAGATCTCTCACTGGGATAACTGTACCTACCAACTGCCGAGGAGTAATGTTGACAGTGGTCATGGAGAAGACAGATTCCAGCAGGTCCTGTTGTTCTCCGTTACAGATTTAAGACAGTATCTGACCTGCAAAATAGGGCAATGGTTGCTAAATGGAATAACCAGTCTACAATAAGGAATAATTACTATATGTCCACTAAAAATTATGTTTATGTGCACTATTTTATTGAGAACATTATTCTTATTGTTTAAAATTGAAGTGGGTACAGACATTCAGATTATTTTAACTCCCATTTAAAAATAGGACTTCTGGTTTAATCTTCACACATATTCTGTTACCCTTCACCGTTAATATGTTCCCTTTATCGGAAACTGAGGGACTAAGAACAGAAGTTTCCAGTTTGTAGTCAACCGATCGTCTGTGCCTGGACTCTACATTAAACAATTTGTTTACACAGATGAACTCCATGAGCACAGTTTGTCTGTCATTTACTCAATGTTGACTGTGAAAATCTCTGTGATATGAACCCTTTAGTTCCTGTGAGAAAATAGAATGTCCGTCTGAAAGAAACAGGTCCTCACTCTAACCCACACTTTCCTGTGAAAGCCGCTTTGTCCAATAATATGTATTTTTTGTCTTACAGCACCGCATCAATCTAACAGTGGAGCCAATACAGCCACAGCGGTAAGACACATGAATTCTCTTTCTTTTTACCCATTATTCTGATAAGCTGCTTAATAGTTAGCTCAGTCGGTTCAGCCTCTCTACCCCCACCCTCCTGAACTCCATCCCACAGTCTTCTGCCGCGCCCCTCTCTCGCTCCTTCAAGACCTGTCTCAAGACCATCCAACCGCGCCTTCGGTCACCCTCCTACCCCCACCCTCTCCCCCTCCTGATCCCAACAACCAGCTTGAGTGCAGATCCCTGACTGTCCAGCACCTTGGAAATGTCATTTGTGTTGTTATCCAAAGGACAGCACACGCCCGGCACTGGACTGGCATGTCTATCATTATTATTATTATTATTATTATTATTATTATTATTATTATGTCCTTGACTATATGGGTCTCAAGTCCCAGATTGGAGCTTGAATCCACAATCTCGTAACTCAGAGGCAAAAGACCTAGAAACTGAACCAGACTGACACAACAACAAAATTACATTTGTAAAGATAGCCAATTCTATTTGGGGGATTGTTGGCCACGAAATGAGGACAGAAAACTGGAAAAATTACCAACAAAACCTCAATGTGCCCTATTGTCTGTGCTGTACTTTCTATGATTCTGAGCTTTTACTAAGAAAAGGCAATTGAAACAAGTTCTCTCTTGACTTTAACAGAGAATAGGACCACAATCTTCAGAGTACAGCAACCTGACAGGTATGTTTGAGGAATATTCTCCAGAACTCACTGAAGAGAGAAAGTGGTGTATAATTGTTGGTCAAAGCCAAGATTCACAGACAGAAATTCCGTCTTTTGTAACAAAAGTCTCTATTGATTCAAGTCAACATCCATTTCCCAAAGCAAATAGCATCTCCATTCAACCCAACACAAAGCACAGCTCTCTGTGTGTTACGGATGTCTGGTTCAGCTTTGCTCTGTGTGAGATAAACCACTGTGATCAGATCACCGTCCTGTCTCTCCAATCCCTGGGCCCGAGTCCTAACCCCCTTCCTGACGAGAGAGACTGCTTCCTGTTCCACCCGATACATACAACACGACATTTACACACGATGGCATTTCACATCGCGAGGACCTCCCAGGACTCGGGACAGTCAGGGATTTGGGCTCAGGGAGTGGGTGGGGGTTGGGGTAAGGGAGGGTGGGAGGACGGCCCAAAGTCATGGTCGGCTGAAGAAGAGGGACTTGAGACGGGCCATGAAGGAGGCAAGTGAGGGGGTGAGACAGAGGGACTGTGGGATGGAGTTCCAGAAGGTGGGGGCAGAGAGGCTGGAGCCCGACCGTCGATGGTGGGGTGGTCAGCGGAGGATGTGAAGCAGGTCGGAGCCCACTGAGCGGAGGGAGGGGACAGGTTGGTAAGGGGTTAGCAGGGCAGAGGTAGCAAGAGGGAAGGCCATGGAGGGCTTTGAAGGTGAGGATGAGGATGTTGATCTCTGTCCTCTCGGTGATGGGGATCCAGTGGAGTCGGGCGAGGGTGGGGGTGATGGGGTCACGGAGCCTGGTCCGGGGGAAGACATGAGCTGCAGAGTTTGGATGACTTGACACCTATTCTTACAGTTACTGCTCCCAACGTGTATGAGAACATCAACAATGTGCAAAGAGCAAAGAACAAAGTGAGTAAAACAATTGTTGGAGAGCATTAATGTTCGAGCTTTGATCGCACTGTTTGTCATGTGATGGAAACACTGTTTTCTCTCCTGAAACTCACCAATTAACTTGTAATCCACTGACCCCACCGGCTTCCCCTCCCCAGAGGAGACAGTTGAAGATCCTGGGCCTCACTTTCACAGCCCCCCATGGTCTTGCTCCCCCGACCTCTGCCACCTCCTAATCCCCCACCATCCTGTCCACTCCCTCCGCTCAGTGGGGTGTGGTCTGCTTCACGTTCCCCGCCTCCATGATTCTATATAATAGATGGCCTGATTTCCTGCCCACTGTTGGCGGGCGCTCTGCCTTCTGCCACTCTGCCCCTCCCTCTGCAACTCCATCCCACAGTCCCTCCGCCTCCCCCCCTCCCTCACCTACTTCAAGACCCATCTCAAGACCCGAGTCTTCGATCGTGCTTTCCCTCACCCTGATCCCCCCCCGCCTCAATCCACCCCGATCCCGACCCCAGCTCGGGTCTGAAACACTGACTGTCCAGCGCCTTGGAACGTCCTCTTTTGTGAAAGGCGCTTTCCACATGTATGATGTTGTTGTTGTTGTTGTATGGTGGTCACTGGGATTGTTCTCCTCGGAGCAGAGAAGGTTAAGGAGAGATTTAATAGAGGTGATCAAAAAAATGAAGGGATTCGATAGGATGAGCAGAGAGAAACTGCTTCCATGGCGGGTGGGTCAGTAACCAGGGGACATGGATTTAAGATAGTTGGGAAAAGATTGAGAAGCGCTTCCAAAGAGCCGGCACAGGCCCGATGGGCTGAATGGCCTCTGTCTGTGCTGTAATGTTCTATGATTCTACATCATCAAATGCCTGAAATTAATTATATTCCATAATCATTGTGGACCCCAGAGTGTGCGTTGGAGTAACTGCTGGAGGCTAACCAGCTAAACCCACATAGTTTGCCATTGACTCGCTTTCCCGCTGCTTGTCCAGCGAGGACCACCCTCCCCGTTAGTCAGGGCTTTGGCTGCTGTGTTAACAGGAGCTGAGGGGGAGGATTCCCTGCCCCCAGTGACTGGTCTGCCCCAGGTCCTGCTGATGAGCCAGGCCGGGCTGTGCTGTCATCACCGGTTCCCTGGGATACTGTGGACCCTCCTGGCTCAGGGACCGGACCAGAGACCGTCATAGAGGGGGGCTCGATTCTGACATTCCCTAAGGCCGGAGTCCTGTCCACAGACAATGAGCATTAAATCAGTTTTGATTACTTTTAATTATCTTAAAAAAAAGGCCTCTGAGATAGATAGCAATAATAATAATCATTGCGTTTGACACAGCGCCTTATCACGTCATAGAAAACATCTCAAAACGCTTCACAGAGTAATAATAATAATAATCCTTGCATTTGATATAGCGCTTTTCACGTCGGGAGGACGTCCCAAAGCGCTTCACAGAACACACTGTAAAGTGAATTGACAGTATAATCTGTGGGCGAAACGTGGCAGCCCATTGCGTACAGCATCGTCCCCACAAACAGTCGTGGATTGAAGTGAACGATTGTTTTTATTAACCCCTGAAAGGAGATCCGACAATCGACTAACAACCGGGTTCCTACTTACTGTTCAGTAAACAGAGACGTGTGCAGTGAGGAAACTTGACCAACATTTCTCTCTGCTGGGAATCAAACCCCGGTCTCTCGCTTGCGAGACAAGTGCTCTAACCACTGAGCTTCAGGACTCTACGGTAATGATAATAAAAGCTCATTGCACTATAGAATAGAACCCAACGGCGGCATAAACTGGAGGAGAGTTAAACAGAAGGTTAAGTAAATGGTTATTTACATAGATTTACCTGGACTGTAGGTGTGGAGATGGGCCTTCAGCCCAACGAGTCTGTGCCAGTGTTTATACCCCACAGTAGACACACAATCCTCCCACTTCTCCCTCTGACTCAGGCAGTGCTCCAGATTGTCACCGTTCTCTGGGTGAAGGAGTTCCTCCTATTCTGGTTGACATCCCTTTGGCGCTAATATACACTTGTGTCCGTCTCCTGGTTACAGACTCCCCAACAAGTTGCAGTTGCCTATTTATGCTGACTTTATCAAACCCTTTTATAATTGTAAACACCTCCATTAGGCCCTCTCTTGAGTGATTCTTCTCTGGCAAAAAACAGCCCAACCTCTCCCGTCTGCCCTAATACCAGTAGCCAACCAGCACTGGTACAATCGGAGTAAACCTTCGCTGTTATCTTTCCATCGCTGGTATATGGACTGTGGAGTCCTGTAGCTCAGCGGTTAGAGTAGGGTTTGATTCCTGGTAGGACTAAATGTTGGGCAAGTTTCCTTCCTCCACACACGCGCCTCTGTTTAACCAGCAGTTAGTAGGAACCCGGCTGTTAGTCGATTGGCAAATTGCTTTTCTGGGGGAAGTAATTCCTTCAAAAAGAAATAAAAAATGTGTCACTCAGTCCAGGCTGTTTGTGGGGACGTCACTGTGCGCAATTGGCTGCTGTGTGTCGCCCACAAAATATACAGTCAATTCACTTTGCAGTATATTCTGTGAAGCGCTTTGAGACGTCTCGATGATGTGATAAGGTGATATATTAAATGCAAGGATTATTTTGTAGCTCAGTGGTTAGAGCACTCGCCTCGCAAGCCAGAGACCTGAGGTTAGGGCGAGACCACAGCTTCCTCATTCCCACTGCCCTCTGTGTACAGCAGTTCCTCCTCATCTCATTTACCATCTGTCTATGGTCCTGTTGCTCAGTGGTTAGAGCACTTGCTTTGCAAGCGAGAGGACCCGGGTTCGATTCCTGGGCGAGGAGAACATTTTTCCTTACTCCACCTACACACACACACACACACACATTGTTTACCAGCAGTAAGTAGGAACCCGGCTGTTAGTCGATTGGCGGATCGCTTTTCTGGGGTAACAATGCCTTTTTTAAAATAATAATTTGGTCCATCAATCCAGACTGTTTGTGGGACGTCGCTGGTGCAATTGGCGCCGTGTTTCGCCCCAAAATATAGTCAATTGGCTTTACAGTATATTCTGTGAAGCTTTGAGACGTCTCGATGATGCATTGAAATGCATTTGCCATTTAAGTGCCCACTCAGCAAGTTTATTAATGTTTTGCTGTAATGTGTGACCGTCCTCCTCTGGATACTATTCCCCCCGATCTGGTCTCGTCCACAAATATTGAAATTGTCCTTCTGATTCCCGAGTCCAAATCATTAATGTATATTGTGAACAACAGTGGGTCCCAATCCCCATCCTTGTGGAACCCCACTGCCCACCCCTGCCAGTCTGAGCCGCTGCCCTTTACCCCTACTCTCTGCTGTCTGTTTTGCAGCAGATTGCTATCCATTCTGCTATTTTCCCCGACTCCACATACTCTGTGGATGTGTCAGTCCAGTTTCAAACACTGTGCAACAATAAGGTGAACTTACAGAGCCTTTCACTAAGATACGGTCTCGGAGACCACCAGCACAGACATGACAGAACACAGCAGGGGATGGGGTTAGAGGAGAGCCAGTGGGGGAGTGAGCCCAGCACAGACACGATGGGGAGAGAGAGAGAGAGAGAGCAGGGAATGGGTTAGAGAGAGAGCCCCAGTGGGGGAGTGAGCCCCAGCACAGACACGATGGGGAGAGAGAGAGAGAGAGAGAGGGAGCAGGGAATGGGGTTAGAGTAGAGAGCTCCAGTGGGGGAGTGAGCCCCAGCACAGACACGATGGGGAGAGAGAGAGAGAGGGAGCAGGGGATGGGGTTAGAGTAGAGAGCTCCAGTGGGGGAGTGAGCCCCAGCACAGACACGATGGGGAGAGAGAGAGAGCAGGGAATGGGGTTAGAGGAGAGAGCCCCAGTGGGGGAGTGAGCCCCAGCACAGACACGATGGGGAGAGAGAGAGAGCAGGGAATGGGGTTAGAGTAGAGAGCCCCAGTGGGGGAGAGAACTCGAGCACAGACACAGACATCGTTCTGTGCTGTAAACACAATCTATGATGATATTGTTAATCAGATGTGAAACACAAAGACAGGTTTCCGTTGCTCTCTGTCCCTTCAGCACAACTCTTCCCATCTACTGACTGTTTATATTCACTCTGACTTTCTTACTGCAGGAACTCGCTGAGGCCTCTGATCCCAATGCCACCTACACGGTGAGAGATGATTCATATTTCATTGTGTGGGATCCAAACGTCCTCTTGTAGCCTCTGCCCTGAGCCCTGCACCATGTGCCAGTGGTCATGAGGGCAACATTCCCTCCTCCAGACCTCTGCCAACCCTCTGCTGAGAGCTGCTGCCCACGGGGTGGGTGGGTGGGTGGGGGGCGGTGGTCAGCTGTGTGTCCATGGTGTGTCAGCACCTGTCTCCTCAGTGCAGCTCACTGTGTACGTGCTGCTGACAGTCACCCCGTCACACTCTCTACCCCAGGCTCCCTGATTCCTGTTCCCCCCCAGCGACCTGCCACACCTTGTGACACGAGTGGGGACCTGTAGCTCAGGGGTTGGACCCCTCGCCTCACAAGCGAGAGGAACTGAGTACGATTCCCGGGCGGGTCAGGGAGAAACCTTAGACAGGTTTCCTTATGTTTTAATGGCGTGATCAGGCGCTGTATGAAATGCTCGGATTCCTATTTATTATTATTATTATTTGCACCGCTGACTGTTACACCTGTGACAGTAGTGACATTCTCTTCCTGTCTTCTCTGGCCAGACTTTACAGCCACATGATCAGTCCCTGTACAGTGACCTGAGAGGCAAAATGGTTGGATAACTGTCTGAACAGACGGGGACTGGAGCCGTGAAGTGCTGATGTGCGGCTTATTCAACCCCAACACGGCCGGGATCAGCAAACCATCTCCTCCCCCTCCCGTTCCCAGCACCTTCTCTTTGTGCAGTTGCTGGACTGGAGTCTGGCGGTTTGTATCACCCACAGTTTGTTTCTCTGTGTTCAAGAACTCTGGAGCGTAATTCTCATGTGGTGCTCACATGGTCCCACTCAGTGATATCATCCACAGGTGTGGGGTAAACTCTATCTCTCTGCCTCCACCCTGGACTCCAGGACCCACTGCTGTCCTGACGGATTGTCTGTCCGGCATCAAGTCCTGGATGAGAGCTGAGTTTCTCCAGTTGAACGTCGACAAGACCGAGGCTCTCCTGCTTGGCTCCCGTCAGCACCTCCTGACCTCAGGCGCTGACAGCATCAGTGTCCATGGATGCCCTCTCCCCATCACCGAGCCGTACAGAACCCGGTGTCTTGTTCAACCTCAACTGTCCTTTAAACCCCACATCCGTGCCATGACCCATTCGGCCTTGTCCCACCTCCGCAACACTGCCGCCTCCACCACTCTCTCTCCCTCAGGCTGCTGAGCCCTTATTCACTCAATCATTAAATCCAGGCGTGACTCTCTCACTCCCTTTAACCCCTCCCTCCCTCCATGGCCTCGCTCCTCACTCGCTCTGCACCTGTTAAAGCTTCACCAACATGTCCTCTCCCTCTGCTCTGCACACACTGACCTGCTCCACGGCCCCCGCCCTCTGGATCTGCATCCAGGAGCCCCTCCACCTCAGCCCCTCACCTGCCTCCTTGGCCACCGGCCTCAAGAGCTGCCTTCTCAATCGTGCCTTCAGTCATCAACTGCACACACCTTACATACACGCTAACACACACACGCTTACATACACGCTGACACACATGCTTACACACACGCTAACACACATGCTTACACACACATACACTTACACACACACACATGCTTACACACACGCTTACACACACGCTAACACACATGCTTACACACACATACACTTACACACACACTACACACACGCTTACATACACACTCTTACACACACACTCGCACTTACACACTTACACACACACACACATGCTTATACACACACATTCACACACGCACAGACATACACCGCACACACTTACACACACAGAGACATGAGGAACACACACAAATGCAGCAAATGGCCAACATATAATATATCCACAAGTAATTTTTAATAGAGTTAAATATATTATTAAATATAAGTATTATTTTTATATTTTTATAATAGTTTATGAATCGCTCTGAGACGCTGCCCTGTGCGGAGGGCGCTGTGTCAGTGCAAGTTGTTGTTGTTAGGATTATTAATATTATAACATAAGAATTTGCTCAACGAAAGAAGACAAAGGTCCATCCAGTTCAGCTTCCACTATCCCGGCAGTCGCTTGACATGTCGTGTCCCAAACTGTATACTGTGTGTCTCTCTCTCTGTCTGTGTGTCTCTCTGTGTGTGTGTGTGTCTTTCTGTGTGTGTGTGTCTTTGTCTGTGTGTGTCTGTATGTGCGTCTTTGTGGGTGTGTGTTTCTGAGTCTGTGTGTGTCTGTGTGTGTTTGTGTGTGTCGCTGTGTGTGTGTCTGTGTGTGGGTCTATGTACTATATTTCCACATATTAATTCCTCACAGAAATTTATCTTATTTGTTTTTGAAAAAATTAACATTTTTGCTTCCACCATCTTAATAAAAAATAAAAATCATTGCCTTTGACCGAGTGTCTTATCAGGTCTTTGAGACGTCACAAAGCGCTTCACAGGATACGCTGTAAAGTGAATTGACTGTACGTTTTGTGCGAGAAACGCGACAGCTAATTGCACACAGGAAATTTTTTATAACACCAATAACCTTGTCAGTTGGTATTGTGAAAGCAATTTCCCAGTCAGGAAGTGAATGTCACATTAATAATACATCCACAAGAATTGTTGATACAACACATGTCACGTCTCAAAGCGCTTCACGGGATACACCTTAAAGTGTAGAGACTGTGTGTTTTGGGGCTAAACGCGGCAGCCAATCGCGCCCGGCGACGTCCCCACAAACAGCCGTGGGTTGAGTGACCAAATTATTATTATTATTATTAACAAGCGGCTTCTTACTTACTGCTGTGTGTGTGTATGTGTGGAGTAAGGAAACTTACCCAACGTTTCAGATTGCAAAGCGAGGTGCTAACCGCTGACTGGGGGGGGGGGGGGGGATTGATTGCCACACCCCATTGCCAGTACCTTACCATCAGCTGTGAGGACACTTCCCCTCTCCCCCCCACACCTCCTCCAGGGAACTAACCCAATGTTGAGCAATATTGATTGCTTCACAGAATATACTGTAAAATGTAGTGACTATGTGTTTTGTGGGCGAAACGCGGCAGCCAATTGTGCTCAGTGACGTCCCACAAACAGTCGTGGATTGAAGTGACCGATTCATTTTTGTTTGAAGGAATTATTACTCCCGGAAAAGCCAATCGACTACCAACCGGATCCTACTCACTACAAGGCAAACAGTGACGTGTGGAGTAAGGAAACTTGCCCAACGTTTCTCCCTGTCCCACCCGGGAATCGAACCCAGATCCTCTCGTTTGCCGGGCGAGGGGTCTACCCACTGAGCTACAGGATCATCACTATCATGGCTTCTCTGCTGAAAGATCACTGCTGGAGCTTTCTTGGATTCCTTATTTGGTAGATTTATCTGCACTCATTTACACAGTCAGGAAACTGTCTCTCTATCACACACTAAACCCTGTACCCCATCACCCACCCCGGCCCTCAGCCTCGCCCTCGCCCTCGCCCGGCCCCACTGGCTCCTATCACACACTAAACCCTGTACCCCATCACCCACCCGGCCCTCGCCCCCACTGGGTCCCTATCACACACTAAACCCTGTACCCCATCACCCCCGCCCTCGCCAGGCCCCACTGGGTCCCTATCACACACTAAACCCTGTACCCCATCACCCTCGCCCGGCCCCCTGGGTCCCTATCACACACTAAACCCTGTACCCCATCACCCCCGCCTCGCCCGGCCCCACTGGTCCCTATCACACACTAAACCCTGTACCCATCACCCCCGCCCTCGCCAGGCCCCACTGGGTCCCTATCACACACTAAACCCTGTACCCCATCACCCCGCCCTCGCCAGGCCCCACTGGTCCCTATCACACACTAAACCCTTACCCCATCACCCCCGCCCTCGCCCTCGCCAGGCCCCACTGGGTCTCTATCACACACTAAACCCTGTACCCCATCACCCCCGCCCTCGCCAGGCCCCACTGGGTCCCTATCACACACTAACCCGCCCTCGCCAGGCCCCACTGGGTCCCTATCACACACTAAACCCTGTACCCCATCCCCCCGCCCTCGCCAGGCCCCACTGGGTCCCTATCACACACTAAACCCTGTACCCCATCACCCCCGCCCTCGCCCCCGCCCTCGCCAGGCCCCACTGGGTCTCTATCACACACTAAACCCTGTACCCCATCACCCCCGCCCTCGCCAGGCTCTGTATTAGGCTGAGGATTCCGTGTATCCCACCTATGATAATAATAATAATAATCCTCGCATTTGATATCGCGCTTTTCACGTCTTCTCGACGTCTCAAAGCGCTTTACAGAATAGACTGCATCGTGAATTGACCGTATATTTGTGGGCGAAACACGGCAGCCAATTGCACACAGTGTGTCCCACAAACAGTCGTGGATTGAAAATGACCAATTTATTATTGCTTTGTTTTGGAGGGATTATTATCAGGCGTATGGAGTAAGGAAACTTGCCCGAGGTTTCGCCCCCGGCCTGGAATTGAGCTCAGGTCTCTCGCTTACGAGGCGAGTGCTCTAACCACTGAGCTACAGGACATTTCAAAGCACTTGATAGAATATCCTGGAATGCATTGCCTGAAGGGGTGGCGGAAGCCGATTTGAGAACAACTGTTAAGCGAGAACTTGATAATTATTTGAGCGAACACCACACGGACTCGTGGGGGGAGAGAGAGAGAGAGAGAGAGAGCAGGGAATGGGGTTAGAGTTGAAAGTGACAGTGTGGGGGGAGCGAGCATTGACACGGACACGGTGGGGGAGAGAGAGAGAGAGAGAGCAGGGAATGGGGTTAGAGCTCTTACAATACAAGGCTTTTGTGCAAATTAAAATGAGGCAACAGTCTACACTGCAGAATTTGGGGTAATAAAACAAGAGCGCCGGTCAATATCGCAGTGTACAAAGCTATTGGGATTCAGTAATGAGCTACAACATTAAATTCACAATAAGTTATCTATAAAAACCTTCAACTCGAATCGTCACTTTGAAAATATTGACAAGTCTTGTCTGACGTGATCTTCTCCCCACACACACACACACAACAACTCAACAACGCACTGAGGCTCAGAGCCAATGAGAAAAGAACATGGAAACTTTTGCTGAATAAAAATGGAACAGCGACCATCTGAAGCAGATAAATGATTTTAAAGATGTCTCAAGACATTTAACTTGATGACGTCTATATTTAGGAGATTTTGATCCCATAAAACATTTTTCTGAAGGCAACGTTTAGCTCATCTTTTTCAAAGCTATTAAAATGAATTAACTAATGACTCAACACACAAGTGTTTCAGTAACTACTGTTCCAAATCTAAATTCATAGCTTCATAACCGGCTTAGGAACTGAAGTATTTTGATTTGGCTGAAAGATGACCTGGAAGAATCTGGAAGAGTTCTTATGTTCTTATGTTCTTAATACATGAACCATATTGATGCATCAGGATATTAATGTTACATTACACATAAAACTGAGAAGAAAATGGCTTATGTTGAAATTGCTCCCAGTTGCGACATATAATGTTATCTCCGGACATCAGGGTTATTTATCAGCATCACATTCATTATTCTGCTGAACATTATATGTTGCATTATATGGAGGAAAATCTTTACAGTGGTTTGTAAGCACAACCCCAAAATAATGATGTAGTTCCTTAGCATAACCCAATCGTGAGATTTGATATACAAAAAACCTGACAACTGCAAATAAGATGAATAATCCTGAAAACTGAAGTCATACCCAGCAATTAACTCCAATCCCTGACCCTCATCTCATTTCTAAGGCAGAGCTCCCTCATGTGTCCTTAAAGAGGCGCTGACAATCACTGGCAGCCGTGTGGACCAGTCTGAGGAACTGACAACAAGAATTACCTTCTCAACAAAAGCAGAAATTAGCAGCGATGGAGCCTA